GAGGCCAATTATAAACATATTTGGCCAACTTAATTTTTAAAAATTACAAAATTCAGAATGGTCATGTTTTTTAAGAACGACCCACATAGTGCCATAAGACTTCTTTCTTGTGAAAGGACATCCAAGACAGATTCTGACGTTGCCCAAAAAATATTGGAACTCTTCGTTACTTACTTTGGTGAAGGATATGGTGATGAGTTTATAAGCTTTAATGTTCATGAATAACTCCACCTGTCGGATTGTGTGAAGCTATTTGGTCTTTTGGACTCATTTTCAGCATATGAATTTGAAAATTGTATGCAATATTTAAAACGATGATTAATAAACCAAATAAGAACTTGCAACAAATATCGTTGAGACTTAAAGCAAGGCAGAAATATATTTCTGAAAATAAGGATTCAAAGTTAGGATCATTTAATTTAAACCACAAAAAAGAGAGAGATTGTTACTGTTTTAGTCAAAATTGGGTCCTCTCAAGGTGATAGGTATAATAAAGACGGCGAACTCGGAAAAACTGCTATACAATGCTTTTGAAAAATTATAAAACTTTTTCGAAGAGCCACTTCAGTCTTTCCCGGGTTTGGGAATTGTTTTGCAAGTCAACTTAGCACTGTGTAAATAGAGATTTCGAGGGAGGATCTAATCTAAATCATAAATATTTTTGTATACCGTATGAATAACTCAGTGAGAGGGAGACCAGTATGTTTGCATGTATGTATTTATATAAAAAAAATATTTATTGGTTCAGAAATGGTGGGTAGGCACTGTGGCCAATGATAAAGTTCGTTTACCACCTCTACACGGTTGTAAGCCCTGCAGAGTCCGCAAAATGCTCCGGAAGCAGTGTCCGGAGGATGCATCAGACTAGGCCGAGCATACTTTAAAGTGCCATCTAATTGAAACTTAAGAAAGTTCAATTACATGGCAGTTGAGAAGTGCACGTGCAAAAATTTCATAAATTGCATAAAGGAAATTTTTGCACATGCAGCAGTACATAGCACGAATTTAGGCGCCCGGTGTTAGCAGTCGCGCCTAAACACCGTATGAAAATAAACATTTGCTGATTCCGCTGTTACACCACATGTTTAACGATTTTCATAATTTAACTACACATTTAATTTTGCCATCAAAATAATTTACAAAATAATAATTTAAATCATTTAAATTTTAATACAATTTACGAAATGAGCCTTAACTTGAACGCTAGCAATAGCTCCGATGAGTCGCATATCCCAGCAGCTCAGGAATGTAATCGTAAGTAAAACTATTATTTAATCATTAATATTCAACAACTCTTCTTTTCTTTTGTCGGTTTCAGCCAAGACAAAATCACGCCAGCAAACCAGTAGTCCGTTATAATCGCATTTAGGAAAAAAGTTGGGCGATTTTGACATTAGCCGTTTATTTACATTTGTTCGTTTGTTTACATTTCGGTGGTGGCTTCTTTACAGCTAGAAAGCGAGTTTTATGTGGTTTTGATTTAATTATATATTTAAAATGAAGTGGGCCGTGATTTTTTGTAAAAATAATTACGACAACAACAAAACCGTGAGTTTTTTTGGTTTTCCGAAGGAGGAAAACTTAGGCAAGCAGTGGGAGCAGTTTTGCGGGCAAGGCGTTAACAAAAAAGCAAAAATTTGTGGTGCCCATTTTCTCCCGGAGAATTTTCAGAACAATTTGAAACTTCAAACGGGTTAGTTCGATTTTGCATAGTTACTTATGTATAATCTAAAGTTTGAGCGAAATTCCAGGATTTGCGAAATTTCCAATTTTTAAAAAAGGGGCTCTTCCGACCAGAAAAAGTAATCAGCCTGTTGTTGAGAGCACCCATAGCGCTGGAAAGCTCAGCATTTCGGACTTGGTAGAGGCTGCCAAAATAATTGCAGAAGCTGCGGAGCGGGGAAATATAGACGTGACTGCGAGGATTCCTTTGGTGGAGGTGGCAGCCGATAACAAGGAGCAGGGCACCCATAGTGGTGGATTACACACACAAAAAACTCGGCATTTCCGACTTGTTGGAGGCTGCCAAAACAATTGCAAAGCTGAGCAGGAAAATGTACCTGTGACTGCAAGAATTCCTTTGGCTAAGTTGACAGCCGAAAACAAACAAAGTCCAAGTGCTACAAGGCTATTGAAACAAAAAATATTAGTCAAAGACTGTTAAGTTTAATATACATACTTTTAGTTCATACGATGGTTATGATATTTTGTAGACAATTACTTAAACGTGAGGCAGAAGGAAGGCAACAGTTTTTTCTAAAAAAATTTTAGTACTTAAAGAAAGGCGCTATTATTATTATTACTTTATTAATATTTTGTGATTGATCCAGTGAAGCGATGGAGTGTGAAATTCAGCGATTGCGAGAGTGCTCAAAAAACCGATTGGAAGACAACACGAAATTGCAGCAGAAAGTGTAATAGCAATGTGGTAGTGGTTATAAAATTTGTTAAATAATATTTGAAATTTCCTTCCTTAGTGAATCACTAACACGCGAAAATTTGGCACTGCTGGTGAGTGAAAAGCAAAGCAAGAAAATGATATCTGCCCTACGGGAACGCATAGAAAGCGCTGGATTCGAGCAAAGAAACATTGAAGAGAAGCTCCGAACAATTTTCACTCCCGGCCAAATAAAAAAGTTAAAGCGTGGCAATAAGCTTATGAGATAGGCTGAAGAGGACATATCGCACTCAATAACGTTGTACTCGACAAGCGCGAAGGTATATAGATTGCTTCCTGCAGTGCGTACTCTTAAATGTTGGGCTAAGAAAGTAAGCATTAATACCGGCATAATCGAGCCGGTCACACAAATTTTATCCGCTGATGTTCAGCTCGATGAGGTTCAGAAGTTATGCATCTTGAGCTTCGATGAAATGAAGATTCGTAAAGTGTATTGCTACGATATATCTTCTGACACCACGTACGGACCAGTAGATTACGTGGAAGTAGCTATGCTAAGAGGTATATATAATAGATGCTTTCCATTTCCAGACAACCGGACAGGTACGAGCATGATTTTTAATTTCGACCAAACTCAAATACATTGTTTGTTGGTCCAAATAATGAGACACGTATTTTTTCTTTTGCCTCGGAAAAATTTTTCGGCCGAATTAAACGCGATCTTTTTTTTTCAAGCAAAAATCAACTTTTCGAATTGACAGTGAGAAGGTTTTTTTAAAATGCGCATAACTTTGTCAAAATTTAATAGATTCCAACAATGTTTTTACTCAAATGTCAGTAATTCTTGTCACTTCAAGATAGAATGATATAATTATTGATTATCATTATTTAAAATTTTTTATTTAACAATAAACAAAAAGTGCAATTTTTTTTAAAACTTAATTTCTCAAAACGTGTATTTTTCACATTTTCCCGCTTTTTATAATCGAAACTGTATGGTGGAAAGTGTGTTCTAATATCTATTTGATACACAAAAATGATCACGGCTGTATTTTTTGCTGATATATTACATACATATGTTCCATTTAGTTAAACAATATAAGAATATTGTAGTATGTACCACAAAAACGTATATTTTCTATAAAATATCATAACTCAGAAAAAAAATTTCGCTATTAGAGATTTGGGTTGATTGTAGTTCAAAGTGTCTCTTTCCCGGTAAAAAAGTTTGAGAGAAAAAAAAATACACTTTTTGAGAAATTAAATTAAAAAAAAAAATATTCACTTTTTGTTTATTGTTAAATAAAAAATTTTAAATAATGAAAATCAATAATTATCTCATTCTATCTTGAAGTGACAAGAATTACTGACATTTGAGTAAAAACATTGTTGGAATCTATTAAATTTTGACAAAGTTATGGGCATTTTAAAAAAAACATTCTCGCTGTCAATTCGAAAAGTTGATTTTTGCGTGAAAAACAAAATCGCGTTTAATTCGGCCGAAAAATTTTCCGAGGCAAAAGGTAAAATACGTGTCTCATTATTTGGACCAACAAACAATGTATTTGAGTTTGGTCGAAATTAAAAATCATGCTCGTACCTGACCGGTTGTCTGAAATGGAAAGCATCAATAGTATTTAATATAACATATCAATAAATAAGGCTAATTATTTTTACAGGTCTGATGTCGAAATGGAAACAGCCGGTATGATTTCGACTGCAGGATGACAAAAGAAATACTTTTCAGCATCATAAGCTCGGTGAAGACGTGTGGGTATCATGTAGCCGCTGTTGTAAGCGATTTAGGCGGAACAAACCGAGCGCTATTTAATGACCTCGGTGTAAGCACCGATACTCCATGGTCAGTAAAATTTACTCTCCTAATATGTACACTACTTTTATTTTATAGTGTAACAATTTTTTCTTAATTTTAGGTTTATCTACGATGATAGGCGAATATTTGTGTCTGCGGATTCACCACATCACATCTTCTACGTAACCACTTTTTGGATAGTGGTTTTACGGTAAACGGCAAGGAGGTGAAGAAGGATACAATCGAGTTGCTCTCGTGTACTTCCTCAGAGTTATCAATAACTCACAAAATTAGCAGCAACCACCTTAGTGTTGTTGGGCCCCAGCGACAAAAGGTGAAAATGGCAACAAAGCTTTTTTCGCACACCGTTGCGCAAGCGATTACGCATGCTTCCAGCCTAGGCTACCTCGGAGGTCACAATTGGGAGGAGTGTCATAAAGTTTTAAAATTGGTAACTAGTGCTTTAACATTATATTTTTCACATTTATGCGATGGAATCCCTCCTTTTTAGGTAAATGACTAGTTTGACATCGTGAAAGTAAGAGTACCGTATACAGATACTAAAAAACGTACTCATGCGTATGGATTAGCCTAGGTTATTCGAGACGGAATCCTACAGCAAATGACGCAACTCATGACCGAAATTCGCGTCGTTGGGAAATTAAATATCATGCCTTTTCAGAAAGGTACCTTTTAATTTAAAAACCATACTTTAATCAAATTAAAACTAAAAGCAGTTCCAAACTTTTGTGTTTATAGGAATTATGCAATCTAATTTGGCTTTAAAGTTGCTATACGAGGATGTAATAAGTCGGTTTAATCTTAAGTATATCCTAACGTATAGATTGAATGAATCTAATTTCTAATCGCTCGAAAGGGGGCTTGAATGACCATCCCGATCGCCAACAATTCAAGTATCGCCTGCGCTCCTACATCGTCGGATTCAACGAGGGCGTGCTTTCAGACAGTGCGAATGTGTCAATCGACGACACTCCAGACATTGAGTTGGAAAGCAACTCGCTCACAGGTAATACAAAAGATAATTTCTATTATGAATATAATCACTACTTCATATATTAATATATAACTCTTTACTTAGGCATCATTTTCAATAAAGTTTTATTGAAATCAGACGAAGGCAACGAAGAAAGTAGCGCGCAAGAGGAACAAGAAGTGGAAGGTCTGGAAAACGACGGGCTCGAAATTCCGCGAGGTATATCTGTCGGCCGCTGTGGTGTAGTGGTAAGCAGTGCGCGCTTTCACTCATCAGCACCCGGGTTCAAGCCCCGGTCAAGGCAACATCGCAAAAAATATAGAAAAAATGTTTTTTCTTAGCAGCGGTCGTCCCTCGGCAGGCAATGGCAAACCTCCGAATGTATTTCTGCCATGAAAAACAGCTTCTCATAAAAATACAATCGCCGTTCGGAGTCGGCGTAAAACTGTAGGTCCCTCCGCTTTGTGTGAGAACATCAAGGCGCACGTCACAAATCGGAGGAGAAGCTCGGCCAAACACTAACATATGTGTAAGCGCCAATCTATTATATTATCTGTCATAAACTACATAGCTCAGTGCCAGACTTGAGAGCAGAAAATGCCGATGACAGCTATACCTGGGTGAACCACCTTACGGAAGGTGGTTTATCAAAGCCCACAGAAGAGATGATGGCACATATGCAGCAATTGCAGTGCGTGTTTGACGAAATTAACGGCAGCGGGTTAAAGATAATGCTAATGATAAAACTTCGTAGACGACCACATCAGAAGCGCCAATCATATAAGCTGCGATGTGAAGGTCAAGAGATTATTTTTCCGTACACGCATATTCGTCAGAATACGAACTTTAAATAAGCAACTTTCTGACAGTGCAAAATCACGAAAACGAAAGTTTAGAAAAATATTCACATAAAGTAAGTTGTAAAGGGTACATATTTACATACATATGATGTATGCTGCAATCATTAATCTAATAATTTCAGGAGCCTAACAGGTGGGAACTATCCGCTGAAGATGAACAGCACAAAAACCTGGAAGACAGTCTGGTGAAAGAACGAAGCATTCATATTTTGTATTGTGGCATATTGTACCTCCATATCAGAGGCTGCCACAACGTAACGCTCTCACTAACCTGCTAACTTTGCACATGCCTGCTCCATAAGTTGGCGATTGTAAATTATTGTATCAACGTAACTGTGGTAAGTGATGGTCCAACAGAACAAATACTGGATACGGTAAGTTACTTTATTTTATATTTATTATTAATGACCAAATCATATAATATATAGTATATCCATTAGGTTTACCAGTCGATACTGAATTTTGGAAAACTGGAAATACATATACACATATACGCGCTTTCGAAAGTAAAAACTGGACATTTAATTATCAACAGCATTATGCAGCATGTTTTTACCACGATACAAGGTACTAAATATTGAAGAATAACAAAAAAACGAAATTCAACGTATTCTTTTGCAAACTAGTAGTTTACATTTAGCGTTCCCGTATTCCAAGAAATAGTCAGACTTAGTCCGAAGTCGTTCCTGTACTCGCATTTATAATATATTCAGTACTGCCTTCCGAACAATTTCTGACTAAATCCTGGAGTACGGTAATAGACTAAGTATTACACCCAAAATTAGTGCAGGCACCCATTTATAATCAACTAACATTTATATTATTTCAGTGTCAACGATATTTGCAACAGAATCGCTTCACTTGAATAGCGGCAGGGCTGCTTGTAGTATAATGCCTAAGCTTGTTCCATCCGAATTCCGTAAACTTAACGACAAAGGCTGCAGACTGAAGTTCGGAAATAACACTATGTTTGGTATCGTCAATCCGTAGAATAACACAATAAATTCATAATTCATATTACACAGCGTGTCCAATCATCCAAACAGTGGAATCATCCATGAACGCAGAACCAGTTCATGGAATCGGCTGCATTTGATGCAGCTACAAGGTATGGCAAGCACTATTGCACTACATTTAGCAACATGGATACACCTAAAGCAAGTTATAATTTAGCAAAACAACATAACATGTATGTATATAAACTTTTTTTTTATTGATTTGTTAAAGATTTTCACAATAAATACAATTTGTCACGCATTCAGCAATCACTTAAATTTTCTTTACTTTCGCTTTTGTCAACGTGTGTACACATATGGTAAAGTATAATTTAGTACGACAACATGATTCATAAGCATTTCTTTACTAACTTTCAAACGAATTTGCATTATAAAAATAATTATTAAAGCTTTCAACAATCACGCGGTTTTCTTCGTCTTCGCTTTGTTGTTTACTTCTTAGCTCTGTTAGAAACAAAATGGCGTCGAGATTTCGAACAGCGAAAAATAACTTTTTTCTTTCTTTCGTTTGCGCGTGATCTTGCATGATGCAAAAATACAAAGTGGTATCAATTGTGACAGCTCGATTTGACACTGCCTTAGCTCAGTAGAACGAGAAGAGAAACGGGAAGAAATTAAGCCCCATTTGGGGGAAAAATATAAAATCTCACATATTTTCCCAAACCAAATTTGCTTTTTTATAGTATGTTCGTAGTGAAATGAAATAAAATAAGATAAAATACCTTTTTAAGAAAAAAACTTTGTATACTGAGAAAAAATAATAAAATATTCAACTATATTATTAGGCAAAGAATTGTTAAAGAAGTAACACTGTCTAACCTAAGGCAGTCAATATGGCGGAATTAGAGCGAGAAGTTGCCAACTGATAACACCTGTATTATTGCATCATGGTGATCTTGTGTCTTTCGTTCATGGGTTTCAGCTAACCAACCACCTCTAAAAAGAAAGCGCTTTTTCACAAACAAACGATTTCCATAATGCAATAGAAAATAAAAAGAGTACGAGTAACAGTGCAAATATCTCAAATGAGGGTAAGTATAGCTATTATTTATTAATATTCAACAACTCTTTCTTCTTCTTTTTATTTGTCGGTTTCAGCTAACCAACCACCTCTAAAAATAAAACTTTTTTCGCAAAAAACGATTTCACTAGTGCAACCGAAAATAAACAGAGTACGAGTACCAGTGCAAATATCTCAGATGAGGGTAATTTATTACAAAAACTTTAACTGAATAAAATTTTTTACTTAATTTATATAAAACCTTGTTTCAGAAATTTTGGAAACCTTGAAAGTGGTCTTGAAAACCCAAAACGAATTCATAGAAGGCATAAATATAATTAACCATAATGTAAGATATTCACTTTCCAACATGTGCTGTAACCAAAACAAATTTTTAAGCAAAGCAAGAAGTCGATTGAAAAAGAGAACATGTATACTTTTTATTGTCCTTTTACATAAGCAAACCACCATTGTTCAAAACCAAATCCACATCTCCGAGGTATTGGAACAGGTCCAGCAAAACATATGTCGTATTTGAAATCGGTATGGAATCGCAAAATATGATGTTACGAGAATTTCAAGGTGGTAGCAAAGATTGAGAGGTCGGTTTGTCAAATGACTGGAGAAATTTCTGACAAAAATTGTCGAGTGCCCTGCTAGTGTATCATAAACGCTCTACCCTCTGGTGATGGCATAGGATAAAAAGACTAGTCAGAGAACGATTTAACGTCAGTTACATTTCAAATTCGCGTCAATTAGCACAGAAGAGAAACGACTAGCCTAAAAGGCCGGTGTGGATTAACTTCATGTGGGTCAACAAATCAGTGATCGGACTTTAAAAAAATTCTGTGTGGTAGAATCTGGAAAAAAATGTGGTAGATTTCAAAAAAATGTGGAGATTTAAAAGAAATGTGGTGGATCTCTGGGTTTGGATCAAACTTTGTATAAAATTAAAAAGATTCTGCAAGGTTGCACACCCAAATGGCAACTTTTTAATTGGACTCTAAACACAAAGTACAAGATTGAAGTTGTTAAAAATTTCGTTAAGTTTTGGAAATATTTTTTCTTGACAGGGTAAAGCAGTTTCTTCCATATTAAGATATTTTTCGAACATATTTTAAGAGATTTCTGCAACCTTTCGGAGCGCTACCAGCTTTTCTTTTTATCACATCACGAAGTAACGAACAAATGTGGCACGTTCCAGAAACAACTAATTGGGATTTGCCGATTTTTACAATTTTCAAGTAAAAGTAAACAACGCCCCAGAAACCTTACATGCACTTAAATTTGCTAATACTTTCACAAAAACCGCCGTTTTTTAACATTTTCGCTATTAATTCTTTTTATAAATCATATATTTTGCAATTTAAAACAATAACACCGAGTTGTCTGTCAAAAAATTGGTTACTGAGAAAATTTACTATTTTACAGTTTATTTATCCTCCCATTCATATTTGTTTACTTTTACTTGAGTAATGCGGAATCTTGTATTATATCATTTTTGTTACCATATAGTGTTTAGTTTTGGACAATTTTTGCTTTTAAAATTAAGAAAATTATGTCAAGCAAAAATAAAACTACGGTGAAACCCGCTTAAGTACCCCCCCTTCCCCCCGCTTAAGTGCCTAACCCGCTTAAGTAACCAACATTTTTGGACACCATGAATTTTTTAATGTATTCTGAAGAAAATCCCTCTCTTAAGTACCTCCCCGCTTATGTACCCAACCCGCCTTAGTACCTCAATTTTTCATGCCTCATTTACAATTTTACTTATGATTTTCCCCTTTTAAGTGCTCTTTTAAAATTCCTTAAAATTTTTACGTATTTTGAAATTCAGTAGCAGCGCCACACACCTTCGGTAAAATAATTCTAAAAAATCAACGGTAATTTTTAGCCACTTGAAACTTGAACATAATTGCACTAAAATTGAATGGGCTATAAAACTGTATACTCAAAAAACACTTCTGAGGAAAAAGTTTGAAATTATGATGATTTTTTTTAAGTGTTCTACAAAATCTTAAGCTTAGGTTTATATGGTATTTGTTAGGGAATGAACTGCATTTTAATTGATTGAAAAATCTTAAAAATTAGGGAATGAACTGCATTTTAACTGATTGAAAAATCTTAAAAATTAATAAATAAACATAAGAGGCAAACGATATTATTTTGAATTTGGTACAAAATGGTATGTCCAACTTTGACCTTGTAAACAATTTACTTCTTGTAAAAATGACATACCATTGCACTAAATATTTTTTTTAATAAAGTTTTTCATTACTTGTTTATGTGTTTACATAATGCTACGATTTTGTTTTTAAACTATGTATATTTACTTCATTAAATGCTGTTATTCAAGTATTTATGTAAGTTAACAAGAAGATGTAACTACATCAGTAATTATGTCCGCTTAAGTACCCGCATCGAGGTACTTAAGCGGGTTCTCTTAAGTACCCAACCCGCCTAAGTACCTCAAAAAGCTGACATTTTTCTTGAGGTA